GGGTGCAGCTGGCAGAAAAGAGGTACAGTCGCCATTTAGGAGAGCGACTGTCCTACCTGGTGTGTAGGGCGACAAAACAAAGGAATCGAGGCGCCCGCTTTATTTTCCGAACACTAATTAGCTAGCACAGCAAGCAGGCTTTCGTAGGTCGATCTCCTAAAGCCAGGCCCAGCGCTCTGCGTTCAAGACCTCCCGCACCTGGGGGCAGCGGGAAGACGCCCCGCAGGCGGCCCGCAGGCAGCCGAGCTCGGAGGACCAGCGGCGCACCTGGCGGAGGCCAGCGCCGGGCCCAGCGCACCGCCGGCTGCCGCGGCGCGCGGTGGAGGTGGGGGTGGGGGGGCTCATCACGCCCCTCGGCATCTGGTTGAAGCAGGGATCCTCCGAGCCGGCCGGCGTGAGGCTCCACGAAGCCCCATGGGCTCCACGCCCGTGAAGGGGCCACCCCGGGCCCGGCCCCCGGCCCCCGGCCCCCGGCCAGGTCCAACTCCCCAGGCCGCCCGCCTGGTAGCGCGTCCCCGAGTGGAAGGGGCGGCCGCGGTAGAGACCGCCGGCGCCCGCAGGGTCCCCCGCTCCCCCGGGCCTAAGCCGTGCACGTGAATGTCCAGGAGCTCGGCGGCCAGCGCCGCCTTAGGCAGGACGGTCAGGGTCTCCGCCTTCTGGGAGAGAAGGGCCGATGTGGAGACCCCCCTCCCAGGCAGGAGGGGGCCCCCGGGATCCTCGCGGCTTGGACTCCCGCAGGCGGGAGGGCCCGGCGTCACCGGTGGGGCGGGGCCAGCCGGGCGGGGCCCGGAGAGGCGGGGCCCAGTGGCATCAGCTGGCCCGGGGGGCAGCAGGGCCGGCTCCGCGGCTGGTCCCTGGGGCGCCCACTCTGCAAACGGCTGCCGGATGGGGCGACTTAGGAGGGCCCGGGGTCGGTCACGCTTGGGGGGTCCCTGTAGTGGGACCGCCTGAAAGAGGCAGGAGCTCATCCCCCGCCTACCGCTCCCGGGCCAAGAGGGAGAAGTTACTGATCAGGAGATGCTGGCCGGTCTCTTCTTTCTTTCTTTATTTATTTTTAAAAAATATTTTATTTATTTATTCACGAGAGAGAGAGGCAGAGACACGGGCAGAGGGAGAAGCAGGCTCCATGCAGGGAGCCCGACGTGGGACTCGATTCCGGGTCTCCAGGATTACACTCTGGGCCGAAGGCAGGCGCTAAACCTCTGGGGCTGCTCCGGTCTCTTCCTTAAAGTCCCGCTTTGTTGGGCAGCCCGGGGGCTCAAGCAGTTTAGCGCCGCCTTTGGCCCAGGGCCTGATCCTGGGGACTTGGGATCGAGTCCCACGTACAGCTCCCTGCATGGAGCCAGCTTCTCCCTCTGCCTGTGTCTCTGCCTCTCTATGTCTATCATGAATAAATAAGTAAACTGCTTCTTGCTATAGAAAAACGTTTTAAAAATAAAGTCCTGCTTTGGCCACCAGGGGTCACGAGTCCCTAACCTAGCTGAAGGAGGCTTACCTAGACTATAGGCTCCCAGCAAAATTCCTTTCCCTCTTGAAATTATTTTTGCCTGGGATTAAGAAAAGACTGCCAATGTTAAAGTTTAAACGTTTTCGATGAGGCAGCTCTACGCATGTGTACACTATGGAAATAATCTCTATTGTCTTGTGGCCTGAAATAACTATTAAAAAGGTGTCTTTATATGCAGGAAAAAAATACATCATGACTTTTCCTCTTTCTAAGCAAAAGGCATGGGATTCACAAAACCACATTTTTCCATTCAAACAAGTATTTGTACGTATATGCATATAAAATGGTTCTAGGGATCCCTGGGTGGCGCAGCGGTTTAGCGCCTGCCTTTGGCCCAGGGCACGACCCTGGAGACACGGGATCGAATCCCACGTCGAGCTCCCGGTGTATGGAGCCTGCTTCTCTCTCTGCCTATGTCTCTGCCTCTCTCTCTCTCTCTCTCTCTCTCTCTCTGTGACTATCATAAATAAATAAAAATTAAAAAAAATACTTATTAAAAAAATGGTTCTAGAAGGGTATACATCAAGTTGATAACTGTAATTGGCCCTAGAAGCCTGGAAGAGGGTAATAAACTAAGAAGATTAAATTTAATCTGTGACTACCAGGTCCAACTTCAGAATGCAAGTCCAAGCCCAAAGTTCTGGAACCCAGCACCTCTGAGAATCTCAGAGTTGGAAGAACACTTATTCTCTCTTAGGATCTCTCAGGTTGACCCCACTTAGATTTTGTAGAATCCATTAGTTTTCTCTAATGAAATTTAAATGTTATGTTTTAAAAATAAATACACAAATAGATATATAAATTTCTTAAATGCTTCACCTGGATTATCCAATTTAATCACAACAGCCCACAGAGGTAGTTCTTGTTATTATCACTATTATCCTCATTTTATAGATGATGAAATGGTGGCTTTGGAAGCTTAATAACTTACCCAAGGTCACACAGTCAATAAGTAGGAGAGCCTGGAATTTATACCTACTGTGAGGGTATCCTTGAGGTTACTACCATTTACATCACTTAATGTTTCTTAGCATGACAGCCTTTGGAAGAAATTGATTGCTAAGCTTTGCTTTTATTTTAGGAATACTCTAAGTTTTGTGTAACTGACTAGGTTTCTTTCTTTGCATAAGCCATTGGAAAGCATATGACTGAATAAGTGGCCAGTCAAGGCAAACATATAGGACTACATAGTAAGCACTACTGTATTAGCCTAGTTTCTGGCTTCATTTCACAGATACCTTTTCCTTCCTTCAAACTCACAATTACCATATTTTAGGTAGCTATTCAACAACCTGAAATTCCTTTTGAAATCTTGGAAACAGGTGGCCAGATATATAGTCAACTCACAGGAGAAAGTGACCAAACATCTTTAGGCAGTGTAGGATATTTTAGGCTACTTTATCAGTAAGGAAGAAACTGAAGTGGAGAGTTGTCCCTATACCTGGAAATTTAGTACCTGGAGATAGTTGTCATCCTCATGCTTAGCTTCTGGGGCTAGCTTTTGGCCCTCATTTCTCTCATACCCCAAGCCATGTTCCTTATAACTTCTTCCTGTGATTCCTCCATCCCAAAGGCATCTGTAGTGTACCAGGACCACCTGGGAGTGAATTAAAACAGCCACTCCAAGAATTCACATTATAGTAAATTATTATACTACATAAGGAATAACTACACTCAATACATATTGTTAGCAATTTGTCAAAATTAAGTTACCTCTAAGGAACTTTCTTTTCATTAGTCAAAAACTAATGGGCAGTTGTTTGGATAAACTGGAATTGGTGAAAGGTTTTGCATGTGCCCAGCAAACCATGTGATGTGGTCTCAGAAAAATTTTTTTGCACTCGGGAAAGACCTTCTGTTCTGCTCTCTTATGTATCTAGGTAGTAGTGCTCAGTACATTGCAATGAGTTGAGGCAGATGGATCCCAGTACTTCCTAGCAGGAAGGTGATAGGAACAGATGCTGCTGGGAGGAAGTCTAATTTGGTAAGTATAACATGACATCCAAAGATTAAGGCAGTGGCCCAGAGGGTAGAGTCTTAAAAATGTGTTAGTTGGGGTGTCTGGGTGGTGCAGTTGGTTAAGCATCAAACTCTTGGTTTTGGCTCAGGTCCTGATCTCAGAGTTGTGGGATCAAGCCCTGCATCAGGCTCCATACCAGTCTGCTTGGGATTCTCTGTGCCTCTCCCTCTGCCCCTCCCACTCCTGCTCTCTCAAATTAACAAATAAATCCTTTTTTAAAAATTGGGATGCCTGGGTGGCTCAACGGTTGAGCATTTGCCTTTCGTTCAGGGCGTGATCCTTGAGTCCCAAGATTGAGTCCCACATCAGGCTCCCTGCATGGAGCCTGCTTCTCCTTCTGCCTATGTCTTTGCCTCTCTCTTTCCCTGTGCCTCTCATGAATAAATGGATAAAAATCTTAAATAATAATAATAATAATAATAAATAAATAAATAGTTATAGGGGAGCCTATGTGGCTCAGTTGGTTGTCTGCCTTCAGCTCAGGTCATGATCTCAGGGTCCTGGGATTGAGTCCCACATTGGGCTCCCTGCTCACTGGAGAGTCTACTTCTCACTCTTTATCTGACCGTCCCCACCTCATCTTGCTCTCTCTCTCTCTCTCAAATAAATAAAATCTTTTAAAAACTGGGTTATATCAGTATATCAATACACTGTTTTGCTTACAACAAGTACTGTTGTAAAGAACTCAGCTTTACTTTGTAAAAGTAATGTTTGAATTTTTGTAAAGAATACGTTATCAGTAAGGAAGAAATTGAGGCCTCATTCATAAAATAAAAACAAAGCTCTGCATTCATAAAATAAAAGCAAAGGGATGCCTGGGTGGTCAGACAGTTAAGTGTCTGCCTTTAGCTCAGGTCATGATCCTAGAGTTCTGGGATCGCGTCCCACATTGTGTTCCTTGCTCAACGGGGAGCCCACTTCTCCCTCTGCCTGCTGCTCCCACTGCTTGTGTGTGCATGCTTTCTCTGACAAATAAATAAAATCTTTAAAAAAATAAATAAAAACATGGCTTAGCATATGAAGAAATTCAATGCCCCCAATCTTCAAAGTGGGGTTCAGAAACAAGTCTTGAATACACATTCAGAAATGTATACTGGCAAGAAAGAAGCATAGTTCATTCCATAAAGGATTCAAGTGGGTATGTTCCCAATGCTCAGACATGGTCAGAGTCCAAACAGGATTTGGAACTCTTACGAATACAGAAACTCAGTCTTCAAAATCAGAACACAGGTCAAAGCAAGGCCAGCAACAGAGAGTTGGGTAGGCACTTCTTACATTTCACCTACTTACGGCTAAGATGAATCCTGTGGGTGAGGTCAGGATTAAGCCTATACAGTGAGTAAAGTTCAGGGGAGAAAGGAGTGGCAGTGAAGAAATCAGGGTTGCAAAGACTCCAATGGGACCTGATAAGAAGCTGAGATAGTTATTTTGTTGCCAAAAGTTTCCTACGTGTTCTGGAAAACCCAACACATGTTGTATGAATTCGGTTTTTATTAATAGTATCTGGTCTATGATTACAATTTTATAGTTTGCTGGACTGGACAGGTTTTTGACCATTGAGATGTTTATGGAAGAAAGTTTGAATTCGCTGCCAAGCATCGACCTGTGCCCTTGACTGAAACTCTGGCTCACCTCCATGGCATATGGGTTGGCCTAACACTGCATGTACAGAAGCTCTACATACAGGAAAATAAGGTGGTTCAATACAATGACCAGTTCCTTTGTAGCAGATTATCTCGGGTCTGTCTTTCCCATTGGCTTGTAACCGTTCAGAGGCTATCTGAGCATAGAAGTTACTCTCCCAGTTATTATCATCCATGCCAACGATAAACAGGAAGGGCCCCTGGGCCCTTTCAAATGGAATAATACTTTTCTGGTTGGATTCCTCCAGTGGATTTTCCCAAATACCCATAACATTTATAAGTCCAGATTCATTAATTGTATATCTCCTTGGGTCACTGCCAAGACTGGGGATAATCATATCCTTGTAAGGCAGAGGAGCTATTGTGTTAGCCACACAGGAATTGATAAGTACAGTGGCTGTGATCCCCTTCAAGAAAGAGGCCATTGAGAGACACAGGTCACCTCCTTTGGAGAAGCCAAGAAGCCCAACATTAGGGCCTTTCACCTGTAGAAGAGAAACAGAACAAGCTTAGAATTTGTAAATGGAGGACATAAACAGTGATTTTATATTCTCTAGGCAGCTTTTTTAAATGTCATTGGCTTGCTTTCTTCATGCAACAATCCACAATGCTCAAGTGGGTCTTCTAAGAAGCAAATCAATTGATTTCCTAGGACACGGGCCTTCCACTAATATTTTTGGTGATTGGGTCCAGAGTACACACAGAGACCTATACCCACATACCCTAAATATTTAAAAGTTATAAATCAAGTGAACAAACTCTTTAAATATATTCTTTTCTCCCACTTTGATAAATATACCTCCATAACAGAAGATTTGAAAGCATGGAAGGTCTTGAAGCTCTGTACTGGAATGTAGACTGGGGAAGAGCCAGCCCATCCTTGGTCCCTACCCACCTTCCTGTTTTTCCCAACCCTGGCTCCATCATCAACCTCGAGCGGCCTCTCACACATGTATGTGGACGCCCAAGCCTATGTGTTTTTTTTTTTTAATATTTATTTATTTATTTATGATAGACATAGAGAGAGAGAGAGGCAGAGACACAGAGGAGGGAGAAGCAGGCTCCATGCCGGGAGCCCGACGTGGGACTCGATCCTGGGTCTCCAGGACCACACCCTGGGCCAAAGGCAAGCGCTAAACCACTGAGCCACCCAGGGATCACGCAAGCCTATGTGTTTAAGGCCTAGGTGTATTCACACTGATAGACCAGAGAAGAGACACAGGACTAGAAGGAGGATCGATGCCATTTGGCAAAGAATTCTGGGGTTCCAGATCACAAGGGCATGGTGGGCGTGTGCATGTGCGTAAGCACACAGGTTCCAGGTGGATACATTCCCTGGGTGCCTTGGACTCCTCACCCTGTCGGCAGGGATACAGCCCAAAGGAAGGCCAGAGTGTGGCCACCTAAAACAAAAGTCCAAGACAGAAGCCCCTCTTGCCTAGGTCTAAGGGCAGAACTGATATATTGGTCTCTTGTTTTTCCCTGGGGCCTTAGCTCCTCTAATTAACCAATAATCACAATTCAAGACCATCTAGGCTTTAGCAGCTCTGCTAAGAGACCAGTCTCTGAATTCTGAGTTAGACTAACCCACAGACATTGTGGAACATTTTATTACTTAACATTAGAATATTTGAGTTTCTTTGAGTCTAGGGAGTTGCAGAGTATATATTCTATCTATAATCATACCAAACTATTTTATTTTTTCCAGTCTCAGATAAGAACTTTCTCTATAAAAACACAGTATCATTATTACATTTAACAAAATTAATGATTCCTTAATATCATCAAATACAGTCCCTATTTAAATGTCCTAAAAATGTCTCCTGCTAGTCAAATTTCTCCATCTGTACATTTACATTAGCCTTATGAATAAGAAAAATGGAATCTCAGAGAAAGAGTTGCCTTTTTCAAGATTATTGGGCCATGTGTGGTAGATGAAGAACCAGAATTTAAGGCTAGTAACATTTTAGGGGAGCTCTTTGAATTGTGGTTAATAATTAAAGGGAAATAAACAGTGGAGTCTTTAGAGATTGGAGAGAGAGGGATAGAAATGAAAATAATAATCCTAGTAACTGGGATCCCTGGGTGGCGCAGCGGTTTGGCGCCTGCCTTTGGCCCAGGGCGCGATCCTGGAGACCTGGGATCGAATCCCACATCGGGCTCCTGGTGCATGGAGCCTGCTTCTCCCTCTGCCTGTGTCTCTGCCTCTCTCTCTCTCTCTCTCTCTGTGTGACTATCATAAATAAATAAAAATTAAAAAAAAATAATCCTAGTAACTTTTGAAGGAACTTTTGTGTCTCATGATATATTTCTAGCCCCTGGTGTTCTGGTATGGCTTCTGGATCCAGTCCTGGGTCTGCTCTATCCCCTCTCCTCTTCAGGCAAGCATGAGGACCCACCTTTGGATGCTGCAGCATGAAGTCCACAGCTTCTTCAAAGTACTCGAGTTGTATATCATCCAAATACTCAGGGAGGTCATCAAATCTGAAATAAGCCAAAGCAAGCGCAGCAAACCCATGTCCAGCCAGGAGGCTGGCCTTGTATTCACAAAGGCCACCACCACTTCCAAACAGATCAATGATCCCAGGGAAGGGTCCTGCACCTGGAAAGCACCACAAATCTTAAAAAGCTTTATACTCTCAAAAGACATTCTTGAGTTTCAGATTTTGGTAGTCAGCAAAGAAAAGTTTCTAGAGCAAGTAAGGTTGGGGGTGGAGGAGTGGGTGGAAAAAGGATCCTTCTTAAAATGTGCATTTTTTTTCTTTTAGTAGTCTTCAGGGAGAAGGACGGGAACAAAAAGCTTTATTTTCTCCAGAATTTTTCACATATTTTCATACATATGTGTGAGAAAATGTGAAAAATATGCTAGAGATAGCATTTGATATAATGTACATTTCCCACATAATTTTCCTCCAAAAAAAACTATTTTAGAAATCTTTGAGAGTGCTACATATATAAGGGTTTATTAGATATACTGCCTATGTCTTTGCACACTCTGCCCCAGCCTTAAATAACACCATTCCTAAATGTGCTCTGTTCTCTTTGGCTCCTAAAAATGGTATACACTATTCCCCTCCATCCCCAATTTTTTTTTAATAAATTAATTTTTATTGGTGTTCAATTTACCAACATACAGAATAACACCCAGTGCTCATCCCATCAAGTGTCCCCCTCAGTGCCCGTCACCCATTCACCCCCACCCCCCGCCCTCCTCCCCCTCCACCACCCCTAGTTCATTTCCCAGAGTTAGGAGCCTTTATGTTCTGTCTCCCTTTCTGATATTTCTCACACATTTCTTCTCCCTTCCCTTATATTCCCTTTCGCTATTATTCCTATTCCCCAAATGAATGAGAACATACACTGTTTGTCCTTCTCCGGTTACTGTGGCCAAGTTCAAAAAGGGTGTTGCCTGAGTTCTTCTCTGGGATTTTGATGGAATCTTGTCTCACATTTAGATCTTTCATCTATTTTGAGTTTATCTTTGTGTATGGTGCAAGAGAGTGGTCCAGTTTCATTCTTCTGCATGTGGATGTCCAATTTTCCCAGCACCATTTATTGAAGAGACTGTCTTTCTTCTAGTGGATCGTCTTTCCTCCTTTATCGTATATTAGTTGAGCATAAAGTTCAGGGTCCACTTCTGGGTTCTCTGTTCTGTTCCATTGATCTATATGTCTGTTTTTGTGCCAGTACCACACTGTCTTGATGAACACAGCTTTGTAGTACAACCTGAAATCTGGCATTGTGATGCCCCCAGATATGGTTTTCTTTTTTTAAAATTCCCCTGGCTGTTTGGGGTCTTTTCTGATTCCACACGAATCTTAAAATAATTTGTTCTAAGTCTCTGAAGAAAGTCCATGGTACTCTGCGCCTTTTGATGGGGTCATTAAGCCCATTCACGTTCAGAGTTACTATTGACAGATATGAGTTTAGTGTCATCATGATATCTATTTAGTCCTTGTTTTTGTGGATTGTTCCACTGACCTTCTTCTTAAAGGGGAGTTTTAAGAGTCCCCCTTAAAATTTCTTGCAGAGCTGGTTTGGAGGTCACATATTCTTTCAGTTCCTGCCTGTCTTGGAAGCTCTTTATCTCTCCTTCCATTTTGAATGAGAGCCTTGCTGGATAAAGTATTCTTGGTTGCATGTTCTTCTCATTTAGGACCCTGAATATATCCTGCCAGCCCTTTCTGGCCTGCCAGGTCTCTGTGGAGAGGTCTGCTGTTACCCTAATATTCCTCCCCATGAAAGTCAGGGACTTCTTGTCTCTTGCTGCTTTAAGGATCTTCTCTTTATCTTTGGAATTTGCAAGCTTCACTACTAGATGTCGAGGTGTTGAACGGTTTTTATTGATTTTAGGGGGGGATCTCTCTATTTCCTGGATCTGAATGCCTGTTTCCCTTCCCAGATTGGGAAAGTTTTCAGCTAGGATTTGTTCAAATACATATTCTGGCCCTCTGTCCCTTTCGGCGCCCTCGGGAACCCCAATTAAACGTAGGTTTTTCTTCCTTAGAGTGTCATTTATTTGCCTTAATCTGTCTTCGTGGTTCTTTAATTGTTTATCTCTTTTTTCCTCAGTTTCCCTCTTTGCCATTAACTTGTCTTCTATGTCACTCACTCGTTCTTCCACCTCGTTAACCCTCGTCGTTAGGACTTCTAGTTTGGACTGCATCTCATTCAGTTGATTTTTAATTTCTGCCTGATTGGATCTAAATTCTGCAGTCATGAAGTCTCGTGAGGCCTTAATGCTTTTTTCTAGAGCCACCAGTAGCTGTAGAATAGTGCTTCTGAATTGGCTTTCTGACATTGAAGTGTAATCCAGATTTTGTAACTCTGTGGGAGAGAGGGCTGTTTCTGATTCTTTCTTTTGAGGTGAGGTTTTCCTTCTAGTCATTTTGCTCAGTGCAGAGTGGCCAAAAACAAGTTGTATTGGAACACGGGGGAGTATCACTGGTCCGTCCAGCTGGTCTTCTGGGGGAGGGGCCTGCTGTGCTGATTTTCAGGTGTTAGCACTTGGGGGAGCTGCTCTGCCCCTGCCTGCTGCCGGGCTCAGCGGGGGTTGTTTACCCCGCCAGGCCCCAGGAGGAACAGCAGCAGTTGCTACGGCAACTCTGGAAGCCTGGATTCAGCCTCCGCAGGAACTACGGGGCTCGGGGCTCTCGGCTCTCCGTCCGCAGGGCCTGGAGGCTCCGGGGCGGGGCCGCTGATCTGCTCAGCTCGGGGCAGGAACGTCCTCGCTGTCCTGGGCCCTCCCGGCCTCTGCCTGTCCCGGGGGAGGCCGGATCCTGGGCTGTGTCCCGGCGCCCTGTGCCCCGGGGCCTGCGCTGTGGGATTCGCGCTCCCGCCCCGCAGCCCCCTCCGCGGAGCCGCCGCCCGAGCCCCTCCGAGCTGCTCCGGTCGGTCCCCGCCGTGCGCGCTGCAGCCCTTAGGGAGCTCGGAGCACTCTCCTGCGCTCGCAGGTGTCTGTTAGTGTCCCAGGGAGCCCGAGGGCATCCCCGCCCTCCTGGGTCCTGCTCCAACTCCCTGCGAGCCCCTTTCCGCCCGCCCGGGAAGGTTGGTGCAGCTCCTGCTCCTCCGGGACGGGGCTCTCCTGTCCTGGGGACACTCGCCCCGGCCTCAGCCCGGCTCCTCGCGGGGCCCCTCCCCCTTGGAGGCCTTTTGTTTCTTTATTTCTTTTCCCCCGTCTTCCTACCTTGATAGAAGTGCGAACTTTTCTCACTGTAGCATTCCAGCTGGTCTCTCTTTACATCTCAGGCCGAATTCGTAAATTTTCAGGATGGTTTGAAGGTTATCTAGGTAATTTGGTGGGGACAGGTGATTTGGGGACCCTGCTCTTCCGCCATCTTGCCCCTCCCCTCCCATCCCCAATTTTTTCTTAAGATTTTATGTCTTTATTTGAGAGAGAAAGACCAAGCAAGAGTGGGGGGGAGGGGCAGAGGAGAGGGAGAAGCAGACTCCCTACTGAGCAGGGAGCAAGATGCAGGGGGTCCATCCCAGGACCCTGGGATCATGACCTGGGTTGAAGGCATACACTTAACAGACTGAGCCACCCAGGTGCCTCTCAAACCTAAATTTAGATCTCTCTTCCCAGAAGGCTTTCCAGATCCCTCCCAAAGTGAGTTGAGTCAGTCTTTTATATGTTCTCACCAGCACCCTGGGCCTGTACTTCCCCTCTCCTAGCACTTACCACATTTATAACTGCAAGTATAGTTACCCGGGTCCTTTATTAGGCTGTAAGTGCAGTGAGGACCATGTCTGTCTGTGCTATATATTGCATCCCAGTATGTAGCATGGTCCTGGACTTAATTCATATTTGTTAAGTGATTGAACTTGTTTACATTATTTACAAAAGCCTTTGGGCCAGAACCGACTTTTTAAATGGGCCACATAGTAGACACTGAAATAGTTAACAGAACATTGACTGGACTCAAATATCAGTAGCCATGATAGGTAGTGAAAGGGTTTTTAGGCGGGAGATTCTTTTTAAAGGCCTTTTTTAAGCTTTTATTTATTTATTTTAGAGAGAGAGTGAGAGAATATGTGAGAAACAGGGGAAGGGGCAGAGGGAGAGAATCTCAAGCAGGCACTCTGCTGAGGGCAGAGCCCAAGGTAGGACTCCATCCCATGACCCTGAGATCATGACCTGAGCCAAAATTGAGAGTTGGTCACTTAACCAACTGAGCCACCCAGGTATCCCTGGGGGCTGATTCTTCTTAAATCAGTAGGACTACTGAGCTCCTAGTCTATCCCTGGGCAAGCCTTTAGGAATACAGACCCATTGAGATGTGTAAAGTCCAATTCTAGCTGCAAGAGTTCACAGCTGAATATGCAGCCATTAATTAAGAGTGTGAATTGCCAGGGGATCCCTGGGTGGCTCAGTGGTTTGGCGCCTGCCTCTGGCCCAGGGCGTGATCATAGAGTCCCGGGATCAAGTCCCACGTGGGGCTCCCTGCATGGAGCCTGCTTCTCTCTCTGCCTGTGTCTCTGCCTCTCTCTGTCTCTCATGAATAAATAAATAAAATATTAAAAAAAAAAAAAAGAATGTGAATTGCCTAAGAGCAGTAAGAATAAAGCAGGGCCTCTCGCTTTGGAGAATGACAATTGTTCCAGATTCTGTGTCACGTGGCAACAACTGCAGCATTTCTCTATGGGAGGGGTTTCAGTCTGGAATTTGGTTTTAAGAGTTGGGTCAGGCGTTTTGTGTCCAAGCCTCTTTCACCTAGTAAGCACCTTGTTCTTTCTAAGACTAGGGTTCCTCAGCCCTATAGGCATTTTAAGTAAGGTATTTCTTTGTTGTGCAGGCTAGCCTGGGCATTGTGAAGGCTTAGCAACATCTCTGGCCTCTACCCACTAGATGGCAATAGCACCCCAGGCCTCCTGGATTGGGACAACCAAAAATGTCTCCAGATATTGCCAAATGTCCTCTGGGGTGGAGGAAAATTAACCCAGATTGGGAATCACTAACAGACTGTTTAAAATGGAAGAAAAGGACCATCAGTTTGTCTTCTCGGATTACAGGGCACTGCCTCTATCCGTGGTTTTAGCTTCCTCGGAAGTTTGATGTGAAAACAGGCAAAGGCCACTCTTGCACAGCACCTTAAGTCATTACCTAATACTGGTATTTGAGGGATCCCTGGGTGGCTCAGCGGTTTGGCGCCTGCCTTCGGCTCAGGGCCTGATCCTGGAGTCCCGGGCCTGCTTCTCCCTCTGCCTGTGTCTCTGCCTCTCTCTCCTTTCTCTTCTCTCTCTCTGTGTGTGTGTGTCTCTAATGAATAAATAAATAAAATCTTAAAAAAAAAAAAAAAGTCATTACCTAATACTGGTATTTGAAACACAGCCGCCTGGCTGGCACTTGAAATCAATGCACTGGGGATCCCTGGATGGCTCAGCGATTTAGCGTCTGCCCTCAGCCCAGGGCCTGATCCAGGAGACCCGGGATTGAGTCCCGCAATCGGGCTCCCTGCATGGGCCTGCTTCTCCCTCTGCCTGTGTCTCTGCCTCTCTCTCTATGTGTGTCTCTCATGAATAAATAAATAAATAAATAATATCTTTTAAAAAAAATCAATGCATTTTTCGAGTATGTTGAACGCACTTTTTTAGCTAAGGAGTGGCAGTTGACTCCTGGAAGTCCGAGAAACTTGGAGGAAAAACTTCAATCCAGGATAGACTCTGGAGTGCGGGGACGAGTTTAGGAAAGTTCCACAACCATGAGCTCCCCACCCCCCGTCAGGCAAGAGGCCACCCAGGTCTCGGGACTCCATCTAATTCTCCAAAACAGCCTGGGACCCCGGGCGCTCACCTGGGGGCAGGAAGAGCGTGCCCCGCACCCGGCCCGCGCGCACGGGCACCCGCCGCACCCCGGGCCGCAGGAAGTGGCGCTCGTGCAGCGCCCGGCCCAGGAGCCGCCCGGCGTCGGGCTCGTGGCCGTCCAGCACCTCCAGCTCCACGGCGAAGGGCGTCTGCACGTCCCGCTTCACCAGCCGCACCAAGGGCGTCTCGGGCTCCAGGGCCCAGAGCAGCCCCATGGGCTCGAGCCCCACGAAGCTGCCGCCCAGCGCGGGCGCGCGCGCCAGGTCCAGGAGGCCGCGGTCGTCCGCCCGGTAGCGCGCGTGGGCCCGGAAGAGCGCGCCCCTCTCGTCGCGCAGGGACGCGCGCAGCGTGACGGGCTGTCCCGGGGCCAGGCCGCGCACGGAGATGCGCACGGGCTCGTCCCAGGCGCAGGGGCCCGCGGGCTCCACGCTCACCGTCGCCGCCATCTTGATTTCGGCCTAGCGCTGCGGCGGGAGGCGGGAGTTATCCGCCTCGCCAGTCACGTGTCCCGCGGGCGGCCCTTCACCTCCCTAGGGGGCAAGCACGGTTGGCACCTTGCGCTTCTCCCATTGGATGCACGTGAGACGCTCTCAACCGCTGCGTGAGATCTCCTAGTGTTTGTGCAAACGCGCTGATGTCTGGTCAGCCAGGGGAACGTTGTCAACTAAAATAAGAGTTCGTTATTAATTCTCCCATCCAGCGCAGTGAATGTGGACTAGAGAGGTACCAAGACTGTTGCGATGGGACTGATACGGTCAGGTCCAAGAACCTGCAGGTTCATAAAGCATCCCAGGTGATTGTAATTCAGGTGATCAGTGGAGAAACAGTCCTAATCCATCCCCTGCCTCTCGATCCTTTCCCTGGCCTTTTTCTTAGAGCTAAGGGTACCAAGGGGTGGCTTTCAGAGCAGATAGATGTTTATGGAGTGAGGTCGACCTGGATTCCGGTCTGATCCTGCTCCTTAATAGCCTGGTGATCCTTAGCAAGATACGTAATTCAGTCTCTGAAGCCAGTCTCCTTCTCTGTAAAAGGCAAATTGTGATAATTACCTGGGCTAACATATGGCAAACACCGCACTGATAAAACTATATAGCACGTGCTCAGTAAGAGTTTTGCTTTTCGGGATCCCTGGGTGGCGCAGCGGTTTGGCGCCTGCCTTTGGCCCAGGGCGCGATCCTGGAGACCCGGGATCGAATCCCACGTCGGGCTCCCGGTGCATGGAGCCTGCTTCTCCCTCTGCCTGTGTCTCTGCCTCTCTCTCTCTCTGTGCTATCATAAATAAATAAAAATTTAAAAAAAAAAAAGAGTTTTGCTTTTCAATTCACGAATCTGGTCACTGGCCGCGTGAGTGTTGAGCTGCGTCAGAGTTCTGGCAGGAAACAAACAAGGGGCACGTTCCAATTGGGTAATTTGTGGGGAGTTTCATAATGGGACTATTTCCAAAGGCATTGGCAAGGTTAAAAAACAAGTTGGTTGCAGAACCTTGGGCCTTGAAGGTTCAAAGGCAGAAGGCTGCCTGGCAGGAGCCCTACCTACATAGCCTTTGTGATGGGAGGCAGGCAATCCGAGTTGAGATAGTGTGGGAGTGGAGAGAGAAGAAATAGCTTGACTACACTCTCCTCTTGCTCTTCACATTTTTGCCAGTGCCTTTCATTAGCTGAACCCAACCATTCTGCTCAGCCTACTTGATTTCACAACAGGGTGGATGGAGCATGCGCACGGTGCCCAGTGAGTGGAAGCACAGTAAGCCAGACCAGGTCCCCAGATCTCAGAGTACAGTGAGCTTTCAGTATTCTACCTCTGGAAGTACCTGCTGGGGATGTTTTAAACACCCTTTGTTTGAAGTGTTGCAGGCTGTGCTCAATCTAGGAACACTCGGTTTACCTGAGCTGCTGCAGCCACTAGCACAATTGACATCTGCCCTCAGGGACACCTGGGTGGCTCAGTAGGTTAAGTGTCCAACTCTTGATTTCAGTTCAGGTCACGATCTCAGGGTGGTGAGACTGACCCCTTCATCAGGCTCTGTGCTGCTTATGGACCCTGCTTGAGAAACTCCCTCTGCCAATCCCCCACCTCAATAAATAAATAGATAGATAAATAAAATTTTTTAAGATTTTATTTATGAGAGACAGAGAGGCAGAGACACACAGGCAGAGGGAGAAGCAGGCTCCATTCAGGGAGCCTGAGGTGGGATATGTATGATCCCCGGTCTCCAGGATCAAGCCCTGGGCAAAGGCAGGCGCTAAACTGCTGAGCCACCCAGGGATCCCAATAAATAAAATTTATTTATTTATTATTTATTTATTTATGATAGGCACACACACACAGAGAGAGAGAGAGAGAGAGGCAGAGACACAGGCAGAGGGAGAAGCAGGCTCCATGCACCGGGAGCCTGACGTGGGACTCGATCCAGGGTCTCCAGGATCGCGCCCTGGGCCAAAGGCAGGCGCCAAACCGCTGCGCCACCCAGGGATCCCCCAATAAATAAAATTTTAAAGTGAAATCTGCGCTCAGATTTCAGAAAGGCAAAGTGAAAGGTGGCTTCTCCCTCTCCCTTTTGATACCCAGGCTGCTGAAAGTGTCACAGAAATGGCTCCCAGGCACATGAAGGAAAAGCAGCTAAGAAGGAGGCCTGAGCTGGGCCATGCAAAATGCTTTCCTGGGGGATCCCTGGGTGGCACAGCGGTTTAGCGCCTGCCTTTGGCCCAGGGCGCGATCCTGGAGACCCGGGATCAAATCCCACATCGGGCTCCCGGTTCATGGAGCCTGCTTCTCCCTCTGCCTGTGTCTCTGCCTCTCTTTCTCTCTCTTTCTCTCTCTCTCTCTCTCTCTCTCTGTGACTATCATAAATAAATCAAAAATTTTTTTTAAAAAATGCTTTCTTGTGGGGGGATTTCTGCACTTAAGAACTCCATGGAAGGGCAGCCCTGGTGGCTCAGTGGTTTAGCACCGCCCTGGGTCTGGGGCGTGATTCTGGAAACCCAGGATCGAGTCCCACATCAGGCTCCCTGCGTGGAGCCTGCTTCTCCCTCTGCCTCTCTCTCTCGCTCTCTCTGTCTCTCATGAGTAGATAAATAAAGCCTTTAAAAAAAAGGAACTCCATGGAAGAAGTAGGTAGTTTACAGGCCAACTGCCAGGGTGAGTTGGCCATAATCTGAAAAAGAATCAGCTGCTATAAGAGAAGGGGGTGGCTTCATACGCATTTTAATGTTTGTCTCATGATTAGACACAGCATAATACCTGGATATGTGGTACAGTATCTCCAATATTAAACATAAACATTAATTTCTGTGCCCCTATTTTTGGGATAGGGACTTTGTGGATAGACAAAAGCATTTGCCTGATGTAGGAGAGAATCTCTTTGGTTATTCCCAGATAATTACACTTCCAGAAAGTTTTCTGTCTGAAAAGGCCCCTGAATTTTTCCATGCTCAATAGCCCACTAACTTTTAGGTATAGACTCAATATGGAAATCCTGAACTTCAGAAACAATTATTTCAGTGTCACCTGATCAGTAACCATCAACATAATGAGTGAGTTCCCTATTCGTATTAGGCTTAGGACACCTGTTTAAATATCACTTTATCAGATAATATGAAAGACTAGAGAGTTGAAATATCTTGGAGGCAAGACTACAAAGATAAATCACTGGCTTCCAAGTGAGAGCAAACTGCTGTTGATGCCTAGAGTGAAAAAAAAAAAAAGAAAGAAAGAAAGAAAGAGAAGAAAAGAAAAGAAAAAATGTTTTTCACTGGGATGAAAAACAATGCCCTAGTAATAAGATCAATAAAAGGATATCAATCAGGGATGTTTTCAAAAGATCTTCCTATAGAGAAACAATGTCAGCCACAGTTACAGATTCATTTAGTTTTCTGTAATCCTGGATAGACATCTGAGATCTCTTTACTTTTCCAATAACCCACCTGAGAGTTGAAGGGGAAAAGGTTGGAAGTGGGGACGGATTCCCAGTTACTCCAGCGTCAGCTGTGATTCCACTTGTGATCTGGCCTGTTACTTATTTCCTGTTCACAGTTTTGGTGAGACAAGAGAGCTCCATATTTCCGTTCTTACCAGCCAGTATACATCGCATTTGAATAAGTCCTTTCTCCAAGATAGCAATAACCTAATTTCAATAATACTCTCATGGTTATGTAGTATTATATTCATATTAACTTCCTGATTTTGATATTTGTACTACGGTTATGTAAGATGTTAGCATTAAGGTAGGAGGAGGAATGGTACTGGGAACCCTGTACTATTTTTGCAACTTTTTTGTGGGTCTAAAATTATTTCAAAATAAAAGGTTTAGGGGCAGCCTGGGTGGCTCAGCAGTTTAGCGCTGCCTTCAGCCCAGGGTGTGATCCTGGAGACCCAGGATTGAGTCCCATGTCACGTTTCCTTCATGGAGCCTGCTATCTCCCTCTGCCTGTGTCTGTGCCTCTCTCTCCCTCTCTTTCTCTGTGTCTCTCATGAATAAATAAAATATTTTTAAAAATAAAGTAAAAGATTTAAACAAAAAAGAACAGTATCAGGGAGTGATGAAATCACCAAAAAGGATACCTTTGATTTTCTGTGTCCTACTCATAGAGTAAGTAAAACCTGTCCCCCTGAGTCAGACCCTTCCTCCTCCATATCCATGAACATTTAGTCTTTCCCATTTGATTGAGGTTTCCAAGAATTTGTATCTAAAAATCCCCTGAAATACTTAAATATTTTCCTTGTCCAAAGCATCTGGACTCAAGCATATGATTTTTTTTCCGGAGGAATCAGATATTGTAACAGGTCTAGAGAGAAAGACATTAGGGTCACATGTCTCTCTCTCTGAGGGACCTTGCCCTTAGTCTTTTTTTAAAAAAGATTTTATTTATTTATTCATGAGAGACACACACACACACACACACACAGAGAGAGAGAGAGAGAGAGAGAGAGAGGTAGAGACACAGGCAGAGGGAGAAGCAGGCTCCATGCAGGGAGCCTGACGTCAGGTCTCCAGGATTAGGCCCTGGGCTGAAGGCGTCGCTAAGCCTCTGAGGCCCCCCCCCCCCCCCCCCCCGGCTGCCCGCCTTTAGTCTTTAAGGAATAATTCCCTACATTCAGAGAGATTAGATTCAATGGAAAACATACTTTTCAAATAGCCACTTGCTGTCTGGATACAAAAATAGCCTGGTGAGCCTGCTCTTGGCTCAGTTACCAGAACTTTGAATTACAGAAGTTACCACCTTGAGTGCTTGCCAAGAGTGTTGGCCTAGGGGCAGCTGGTACTGGGGAATGCAAGAGATTAACCTTGCAGGTGCCACATCACTTACTTTTGTAATCGTATTAAATCACTAGTAAGCAATGACCAGATAGTTTGACAAAGAAACAGATGTATGAACAGAATGAAACACTGGCTCACAAAAAACATGTTTTCAAAAAGGATTTTACTTTTAAGTAATCTCTATACCCAACATGGGGCTTGAATTTACAACCCCGAGAGTTTTATGCTCTACCTACTGAACCAGCCAGGCACGACACAGAATTACATTTTTTATTTGCCAGTTCTCTAGCTATTCACCACCAACACATGAGGGCAGAGGTAGAAGCAGACTCCCTGCTGAACAGGGAGTCCAATGCAGAACTCCAACCCGGGACCCTGGGATCATGACCTGAGCCAAAGGCAGACGCTTAACCAACTAGGCACCCAGGCGCCCTTCATTTCTTTCTGATCATGAAGTGAGGTAGATATATAGAAGCTAATGGGTGCTCGCTTTGGCAGCACATATACTAAAATAGCAGTTGTTCGGCATTTCTGTGATCAGTGAAGATCTTAGAAGGGATGGCAAAACATAGGAGGCACTCCTCCTGGTGTACTCCGTAATCCCTTCTCATCTCTTTATGTGATTAAAAGTTAAAGGTATCTGAAATTACAATTGTAGTGGGCAAGATATTGAATCATATATATGTAAAATATATGCACATATATGTGTGTATATATATATATATATATATATATATATATATATATATACACAAGCTAGTAGAGAACACCATCATAACACAACATAATCATTCTGTAACAGGAGCACCACCCATTCATGTATTGATGAGATTAAAAAGGGAAAAGGGGTGCCTAGCTGACTTAGTAAAGCATGCGACTCAAATTTTGGGGTTGTGAATTTGAGCCCCACATTGGGTGTAGAGATTACTTAAGAATAAAATCTTAAAATAAAATGGGAAGATGTAGGGGCACTTGGCTGGTTCAGTCCATAGAGCATATGACTCTTGATCTCAGCATTGTGAGTTCAAGCCCCATGTTGGCTGTACAGATTACTTTTTTAAAAAGTAAAATTTTAAAAATGGAAGATGTTGAGGAATTGCAATGCTAGTGGATAATTTTTAAAGGATTTATTTATTTAAGAGAGTGTGCACATATGGGGGAGAGGCAGTGGGTGAGAAAGAGAAAATCTCAGGCTGAAGCCCCACTGAGCACAGAGCGTGACTCACGGCATCATTTCAGGATCCTGAGATCATCACCTGAGCCAAAATCAGGAGTTGGACGCTAACCAACTGAGCCACCCAGGCGCCCCATGGTTGTATCTTTAATCTGTATTTTTTTTACTTTTACCAATTTTTGAATCTTACATAAAACATTTTTTTTTACTTGATCATAGTTTTTATTTAGCAGAATGTAAATCTTGCAACTGTATTTGACTTAAAGAAAAACATCTTTATGTAGTATATTTTACGTATTATATACAATTTGCTTATTTAAAGTGTACAATTCAGGGGCAGCCCCGGTGGCTCAGCGGTTTAGCGCCGCCTTCAGCCCAGGACCTGATCCTGGAGACCGGGGATCGAGTCCCACATTGGGCTCCTGCATGGAGCTTGCTTCTCCCTCTGCCTGTGTCTCTGCCTCTCTCTCTCTCTCTCTCTCTGTCTCTCATGAATAAATAAGATCTTTTTAAAAAAAGGATTATTCTTTAAAAAAAATAAAGTGTACAATCCAGTGGTTTTAGTATTTTCACAAGGTGAATTTAATGCTGCTAATTTAAGAACAATTTCATCACCCCAAAAAAGAAACCCTGTACTCATTAGCAGTCACTCTCCATTTCCCCCCAAGTATCTCTCCACTCCCAGCCCTAGGCAACCACTTATCTACTTTCTGTCTCTATTTATTTGTTTATTCTGGATATTTTTTATAAGTGGATTTATACAATATGTGGTCTTTTGTGACTGGCTTCATTCACTTCACTTTTTTTGTATATTTTTTTATTGGAGTTCTATTTGCCAACATATAGCATAACACCCAGTGCTCATCCCATTAAGTGCCCCCCTCAGTGCCCATCACCCAGTCACCCCATCCCCCCGCCCACGTCCCTTCCAAGACCCCTTGTTCATTTCCCAGTTAGGAGTCTCTCATGGTTTGTCACCCTCTCCCACTCATTTTCTCTCCTGTTCCCTTTATTCCCTTTCAATATTTTTTATATTCCCCAAATGAATGAGACCTTATAATGTTTGTCCTTCTCCGATTGACTTACTTCACTCAGCATAATACCCTCCAATTCCATCCACGTTGAAGCAAATGGTGGGTCATTTCTAATGGCTGAGTAATATTCCGTTGTATATATAGATCACATCTTTATCCATTCATCTTTCAATGGACACCGAGGCTCCTTCCACAATTTGGCTACTGTGGACATTGCTACTGTAAACATTGGGGTGCAGGTGTCCTGATGTTTCACTGCATCTGTATCTTTGGGATAAATCCCCAGCAGTGCAATTGCTGGGTCGTAGGGCAGCTCTATTTTTAACTCTTTGAGGAACTTCCACACAGTTTTCCAAAGTGGCTGCACCAGTTCACATTCCCACCAACAGTGCAAGAGGCTTCCCCTTTCTCCACATCCTCTCCAACAATTGTTTCCTGTCTTGTTCATTTTCATCATTCTAACTGGTGTGAGGTGGTATCTCATTGTGGTTTTGATTTTTTTTTTATTTTTAAAGATTTTATGTATTCATGAGACAGAGAGTGAGAGAGAGAGAGGCAGAGACACAGGCAGAGGGAGAAGCAGGCTCCATGCAGGGAACCTGACGTGGGACTCGATGCCTGGTCTCCAGGATCACGTCCTGGGCTGAAGGCGGCGCTAAACCGCTGAGCCACCCAGAGTGCCCCTCGTTGTGGTTTTGATTTGTCTTGCCCTGATGGCAAGTGATGCGGAGCATTTTCTCATCACGTCACGTATTTTCAAACTTCATCCATTTTGCACATATATCAGTACTTCCTTTATTGCAAAACAATACTCCACTACCATACTAAATTTTAACTATCCATTCATTGACCAATTCACACTTGGGTTATATCCTCTTCTTGGCCATTGTGAATATTGCCGCTGTGAATAGTTATGTACAAGTTTTTATGCATATGTCTGCTGTCATTTTTCTTTGTTATAATTTATCTGGAATTGCTGGTCATTGCAATTCTGTATTTAACCTTTTAGGAAAAGCCAGACTTCCCAAGTGGCTATACCATTTCACAATCCCACCAGCAGTCTATGAGGAGGGTTCCAGTTTCTCCACATCTTCATCAACACTTGTTTTTATGTCTTTTTCTTTTATTTAAAGTAGACTCCATGCCCAACATGGGGCTTGAACTCATAACCCCAAGACTAAGAGTCACATGTTCTACCAACTGAGCCAGCCAGTTGTCCCTGTCTTTTTCACCATAGCAATTTAGTGGATGAGAAGCGGTATCTCACTGTGGCTTTAATTTGTGTTTTCCTGATGCCTAATGATACTGAGCATCTTTTCATGTGCTTGTTGGCAATTTGTATATATTCTTTGGGGGAGATGACTATTCAGAAGCATTGCCTATTTAAATTCCCTCAGCCTGAAGTTTGACTCACTCTCCTATCCTCAATCAGATCTCTGCTCAAAGATTACATATTCAAATATGTCTTCCCTCACTGGTCTATTTAAAATATCAACCTCTCTCTGTCTCTCAAAAAAAAAAAACAAACAACAACAACAAAGAATAGATGTGTCAAAGATCAAATGATCTAACGTGTGTAATGAAATCCCAGAAGGAAAGGAAACTGAAGATGGAGAAGACAACATATTTCAAGAGATAATGAAACCACACCATGGGTATATCTCCAAATCACTATATTGATCAGAATAAGCCACATATACATTATCAACTCTATCATTCCATTTCTATAACCTCCAAGAACAAATGAAGCTAATTTATGATGATCAAAGATCAGAAATCATTGTATCACAACGATGCAAGGAAGAGAAAACGAGCAAAATGAATTTTCTTTGGTGATAAAAAAAAATCCTATCTTGTTTCCTGTGGGTTTCCAAGGGTATATAGAATTATTGAACTGAACTGAACACTAAGGATATGTGTGTGATTTTTCAGTTAAAAAAATTGTAAGCAGGAAAAATAAATTTATAGAATGAAACAAAACAAAACAATAATATCACCTCTCTCATCAAGCTCTAATCTTATGGCTAGAGGCAATAACAGAAAAGAAAATAAAAGCTTTCTGTCTACTTTTGGAGTTCTTTTCCACAAGGTACTCAGCAGGTTTATTTCACCTTGACAAAGTAAATGCTATATAATTAATACCTAATACAAATCCATTTGAATAAACATAAGAGATACAGAGTTTAAACAGATTGGTTAAATTGACTTTAATTTTCAGTGAGATTTTATTTCATGATTCATTGATGACAATTTCTTAAAACAAGGTTTAACATGTTTATCTTATACATTTACTTTATACCCTGTACATGTACCTACTGTCATTTGAGATTAAGGTGTCCATCTATTATTCTCTGACAGGAAATCAATACTCTGTATGATCTAAACCCATTTTTTAGAACACAAAATTAAACATACTAGGAAAATCAACCTGATATTTTGTCCTTTACTGGATGTACAGTCCTTATATATTTAAGATAGTTACTGATCTGAGTTTAAATTATTTTTCTATCCTCCTTATTCTATACTTTTTATGTTCTTTTAGCTATTTAAATGGTGCCTGGGTGGCTTGGTTGTTTAAGTGGCCTGACTCTTGAGTTCAGCTCAGATCACGATCTCAGGGTCATAGGATCAAGCCCTGCATTGGGCTCGATACTCAGGGTGCAATCTGCTTGAGCATCTCTCTCTCCCTTCCCCTTTGCCCCTGCCTCCACTTGTACATGCTCTCTTTTACTCTAAATAAGTAAAAAATTTATATAAAAACTATTTCTTTACCCCAACTCCTCCCAAAGGATTCTTCTCTAATCTCCATGAGGAAAAGGTCAGTCTGGTTTCCTTATATCAACATCTATCTGTACAGTTACGACCAATGAAAATTCTACTCTGCTACCAGTATTGGAACCAGTAGTAAACATTGGATGGCAATTCTCCCATAGTGATAAAAAAAAAAAGTAACCTAGAATTTCTACAACTTTAAATTTCGTCTATGGCTCAAGTATTAAGTAAAAAAAAATCTGGAAGAAAACACTAATTTTAAGATGCTTTTACTTTTTGTGTTGTATACCTCTAAATGAATCTTCTTTAAAAAAAAAGATTTTATTTATCCATTCATGAGAGACACACAGAGAGAGAGAGAGAGAGAGAGAGAGGCACAGAGACACAGTCAGAGGGAGAAGCAGGCTCCATACAGGGAGCCTGACGTGGGACTCGATGCCCGGTCTCCAGGATCACACCCTGGGCTGAAGGTGGAGCTAAACCGCTGAGCCACCCAGGCTGCCCTAAATCTTCTAAAATTGGTATGTTACATTAGTAAAATTAATGGAAAAATAATGTATTAAAAATGTTACCTATTTTTTAAAAGATTTTATTTATTTATTCATGAAAGACACAGAGAGAGAGAGAGAGGCAGAGGCATAGGCAGACGGAGAAGCAGGCTCCATGCAGGGAGCCTGATGTGGGACTTGATCCCAGGACTCCAGGATCACGACCTGAGCTGAAGGCAGATGCTTAACCAGTGAGCCACCCCAGCGTCCCTTAAAAATGTTGTCTAAAATATATCATTAATACTCATGACATGAATTTAATGTTACCAGGGGGGCAACTGATTCACATACAATTATTAAAACACCAGAATATGATCTTGAATTTCTCTCTCTCTCTTTTTTAAAGATTTTATTTATTTACTCATGAGACACACACAGAGAGAGGCAGAGACACAGGCAGAGGGAGAAGCAGGCTCCTTGCAGGGAGCCCGATGCGGCACTCAAACCCAGGACCCCGGGATCACAACCTGAGTTGGCAGGCACTCAACCACTGCACCACCCAGGTGTCCCAGACCTTGAATTCCCATGTCAACAATAGACCACTCTATTACAATTTGGGGGGAGCTATATTCTGGGTACCTCCAAGATGTTCGCAGAAAAAGGTCAGAATTTGTTTCCAAGCATCTTCCTGGGCCTTAGAATGAGCCCTTGGCTCCCCACCCCAGATTACAGGTTTGTTCAGTAATTTCTGAATGGAAGCTGGGCATAAAGGAAAGTAAGGAGGCTCGATAAAATGCCCAGTCCCAGGATAAGAGATGATCTGAGGTTTTTTCTTTCCATGGGCCTGTAACCGCTCAGAGGCTATTTGGGCATATAACTCACTTCTCCAGTTATGGTCATCCTGACCAACAATGAAGAGGATGGGCCCCTGGGCCTTCTCCATTGGAATCATGCTGGGGTTCTCATGCCCTCCTACAACATCATTCCGTATATCCACAATGTCCAGGATGCCTGAAAAAGCTACCTTGATCCTCCTCAAATCATGGCCCAATGGTGGGATGAAAGTCTGCCTGTAGCGTATGCCTTTGTTTCCACTGAACCCTGATCCATTGATGGAAACTGTGGCTGAGATGTTCTTCAAAAATGAGGCCATGGAAAGACAAATATCAGCCCCTAAAGAAATGCCCAGGAGCCCAATGCCTGGGCCCTTTACCTGGAAGAAAAGAAGAGAGGAGTCAAGAATGGATTTCATTGAAAAATATTCTACAGTGATGGCAGTACTTTTCATCAACACCAATTCACCTAAAAAGTGTTGATACTTTAGGTCTGAGTTAATCTGAGGGCAGAGGAAAAATGGGGGCTGAGAAGTAGCTGTCCCTTTAGAGGTTGACAGGAAAAAAGAAAAAAAAAAACGTATTCCTGGTTGGCTCAGTTGGTAGAATATATGATACTTAATCTTAGGATTGTGAATTTGAGCCCCACACTGGGCATAGAGATTTTTTTTTAAGATTTTGTTTATTTATTCATGAGAGACACTCAGAGAGAGCGGCAGAGACACAGGCAGAGGGAGAAGCAGGCTCCATGTAGGGAGCCCGACGTGGGACTCCATCCCAGGACTCCAGGATCACGCCCTGGGCTGAAGGCGGCGCTAAACTGCTGACCCACCCCTGGGCTGCCCTAGAGATTACTTTAAAAAAAGAAAAAAGGTATTACCTATTTAAAAAATGTAACTAGAGACACTAACTTTAATTTGTCAATTGGCCAAAAGAGTTTCGAACTCAGCTGACAGGAGTTTCTTCCCACATAAAAAATAACTGGGTGAACACAGGGCAAATGAATTGTAAACTCGTTGGCAAGTCTGGGTATTGATTACATATGCTCCAGAGTATCATTCACTAGAGAATGCTGAGTAGTGGAGCCTGTCAAATTCATGTCCTCATTCAGGGGGCCATGATCAAAATCTCAATGTGCCAAGGTATCTAACTGTGTGGAACCAAGTTCTGTTCTAAGTGAATGATTCATCAGACCCCATCTAAATACACTGGCAGATGATTAACTTTATGGAAACAAAGTAAGACTTCAGAGTCAAATTATATAGTTCTTGGCTTCTGAAATGCGTGGGCAAGTTCTTATCAAAATCAGAAAATTGAAGATTAAAAAATCAAAGTAAAAAGAGTCTGCAGAGAGAAGTAACAAAACTAAAAGACAACCTAAGGAATGGGAGAAGATATTTGCAAATGACATATCTGATAAAGGGTTAGTATCCAAAATTTATAAAACTCAGCACCCAGGGACTTGGGTAGGTCAAGGGGTAAGGCCTCTTGATTTCAGCTCAGGTTGTGATCTCAGGATGCTGGGATCAAACTCCACATCACACTCCCCGCTCAGAAGGGAATCTGCTTGCTTGTCCCTCTCCCTCTGCTCCTCCCCCTGCTCATACTTGCCCTGGTGTCTGCTCTATCTCTCAAAAATATCTTAAAAGAAAAGAGGCTCAACATCACTCATCATCAGGGAATGCAAATCAAAACTACAATATTACCTCACACCCGTCAGAATGGCTAAAACCAACAACACAAGAAACAACTCTTGGCAAGGATATGGAGAAAAAGGAACACTCATGTTCTGTTGGTGGGAATGCAAACTGTTGTAGCCACTGTGGAAAACAGTACAGAGGTTCCTCAAAAAGTTAAAAATACAATTACTTTACAATCCAGTAATCACACTACTAGGTATTTAACACCAAAAATACAAAAACAGGAATTCAAAGGAATACACGCACCCCAATGTTTATTGCAGCATTGTTTACAATAGCCACATTATGGAAGCACCCCAAGTGTGCATCAACAGATGAAGGACAGAGATGTGGTATGTATACACAATGGAATATTATGTAGCCATAAAAAAGAATGAAATCTTGCCATTAGCAAGATGGATAGATCTAGAGAGTAGAAGGCTAAGTGAAATAAGTTAGAGAAAAACAAATACCATGATTTCACTCATACGTGGAATTGAAGAAATAAAACAAATGAACAAAGAAAAAAAAAGAGAAATCAAGAAACAGACTCTTAACCATAGAGAACAAACTAAGCCATCTGACAGAGAAAGTGTAAATAGGCACCTAAAGCCAAGGAAGTCTCCAAAAGAAATCTCTGTGAAAGAAGAGTAGAGCAGCTTCAGGGCACCCGGCACAGGTGAGTGCAAAGTGATACCCTCTATTGATGTATTTCTAGAGAGAATGATACAATAAAGGATATCAAGAGAACCTCAGAGTGTTGAAGCATGTAGCATAGGGCTTCTTCAAAGTAGTCCAGGTCTACGCTGTCAATTTCCTTGGGGAGATCTTCAAAGTTATAATAAGCTAGAGCCAAGGTGGCAAAGCCATGACCAGCCAAAAGGCTGGCCCGATACTCCACCAGGCCCCCTCCAATTCCAAAGATATCAATGATTCCCGGGAAAGGTCCAGGTCCTAGAGAAGAGAATAATATGAAGGAAAGGCATTATACAAGATTTTGCTTTTCTTTTAGAGAACTTTCTAAATTATTTAGTGGGTTCCTATGAATCAAAGGAAAAACAACAGCTCCCTGAGTTACTATGCAAAGGGAACATAAGTACCTTGAAAAGAAAATCTACACGGTACTTTCTCATTGATGAGTCTACACTCTATATGATTCTATAAATGATCTATAAGATTCTAAGAATCTTTAGCTATCAGGGAGAGTAACAAAGTCTTTCACTATGACGACATCAGGGAAGGAGGAATTTCATGTTTTACACAGTGCTGATTCATAGTGCTCTGTTAGGGAATTGGGACATAAAATTAAGAATCTTGAAATAAAGCTTTATGTTGTGTGGCACAGACCCTTGGCTTTGTGTGTGTCTACTGGTATTTCAGATGTCTATTTAGAGAGAAGAAAGAAAAATAGAAACCCAAAGATGGCTTTAGGAGAAAGTCAGTAGAGTCTAAAGTGTGATCTGTGGTACACAGGGACATGAAGAAGTGGACAAGAGGCCCAGTATACTCAGGACCTATTGAAGGGTGACATAGCAATAGCTTCCTTGATCGATAGGGCCGATGAGATCTATAGAGTAGTTATTAATAACACAATGGATCACATACCTACCCTCCAGACCCTGTTTTGGTTTTTTTTGAGTTTTTGTCGTTTTTTTTTTTTTTTTAATTTGCGGAATAACTGTACTCAGCTCACTGAGATATGATAGAGATTAAATGAGATAATTTAATGTAAGCAAAACGCGTTAATGGAGCCCAACAAGTTAAAATACTCCATTTTGGTTGTCTGGCCACTGACCGAGTCATTGTCAGCTTCTTTGCCCTAAAGGGAGGGGCTACACCCGCCGGCAGCAGTACCGGAAGCCGCCGGCCACGTGGGCACGGGGTCCCGCATCCCTAACTCCTCACTCACCTGGGGGCAGGAAGAGCGTGCCCCGCACCCGGCCCGCGCGCACGGGCACCCGCCGCACCCCGGGCCGCAGGAAGTGGCGCTCGTGCAGCGCCCGGCCCAGGAGCCGCCCGGCGTCGGGCTCGTGGCCGTCCAGCACCTCCAGCTCCACGGCGAAGGGCGTCTGCACGTCCCGCTTCACGAACCGCCAAAAAGGCGTCTCGGGCTCCAGGGCCCAGAGCAGCCCCATGGGCTCGAGCCCCACGAAGCTGCCGCCCAGCGCGGGCGCGCGCGCCAGGTCCAGGAGGCCGCGGTCGTCCGCCCGGTAGCGCGCGTGGGCCCGGAAGAGCGCGCCCCTCTCGTCGCGCAGGGACGCGCGCAGCGTGACGGGCTGTCCCGGGGCCAGGCCGCGCACGGAGATGCGCACGGGCTCGTCCCAGGCGCAGCGGCCCGCGGGCTCCACGCTCACCGTCGCCATCCCGGCTGCGCGCCGCACCGTCTGCACCTCGGGCTGGGAAGCTGCCGTTCGCGCCCGAGCGCGGTCCAGTCCGGGCGGCGGAGCGCGCCTCGCGGGCCCGCGGGGCTCCGGCGTCCCCTGGCGCAGGAGCGGTGGGAGGCGGGGCCGCGTCCGGAGGCGTCTGGGCGCCGCAGGCCCGTGGGCCTCGTTCGGGGAACGCGCCCGAGGCTACCGCCGCAGGTGGTTGTCCCAGGCCAGGCGGGGTGCGCGGGGCCTCCTGAAATCCGGGCGAGGTGCTCAGCCCGCCTCCACCGTGCACTCTCCCTCCAGCCGTTCTCAGCTTTGTTGGAGTCAAAATTGGGTCACCTACTCGTGGTAAAACCAGAGCTGAATGGGTTTAGGCAGAATTCCAAGAATTCCAGCCCCCTCCTGGAAAGAGCAACTCTGTTTTTTTGTTGTTTTTAATTTTTAGCTTATTATATGTACAGAAAACGCGCCAGCCCTCAGCGTACAAGTCCAATGACTTTTCACAACCTGGAATATACCCACGTAACCAAGCACGCGAATCCAGAAACCTCATTACCTGCACTGCAGTAGCCACCCTCATTCCTGCTCCTGGCGCCAACCCCTGTCCCCGGAGGTACTCTATCCTATTCCGACAAAATGAGTGGTTTAATGGGAATGAATCCTTCGGTGCATCTTCTTCCCTGTCTTTCTTCTTTCACTCAACACCGTGAGATTATATGTACTGTTGGGTGTAGTTGTAGATCGTTTATTATCATTGCTAAGTGGTATTCCATTTTGTGCCAGGGCAAGTGTTTGTCAGCTTTACTACCAGTGGGCATTTGATCATTCTCAGATTGAGACTCTAGTGCAGTGGACATTCAAGAACCTATCTTTTGTCCAACATAGATGTGCATTTCAGTGGGGTATGTACCTGGGAGTGGAATTGCGGTATTATAGGGAATGAATATGTTCAGCCTTAGTAGACAGCAAAAGTCAACCTTCTGAGTGTGACCACAGAAGCAGTACAGGTATACAGTTCGGAGATGCACAGCATTTTATTTATACATACAACAATAACTACTCCTTATCAATGCCCAAATGCTTTATATACAAAATTTAACCTGTTCACAAAACACTGGGAGGATTTTTCAAATATTGCAGAGGAGGAACTTGAAGCTTGGAGAATACTTAAGCCACTGAAGTTATCTAGTGACAGAGTCTAACTAACTCCAAATGTGGAACTCAAAGTTGTGCAGCAGCATTCTGGTGAAGTATAATCCGAGTTCTAGCTCTGGCTTTATTAACTAGTTCTGCAGCATTGAGCAAGTGTTTTATTTCTCTGGGTCTCATAGTTCTTGTAGGCAACATGGTAAAAGTCTCTCATAGAGGATCAGACATGGTAGTGTATGTGAAAGTCATAGAATATGTGAAGCAGAAAGGTAATGTTTGATTTCCGTTTTTAAAAGATTTTATTTATTTATTCATGAGAGAGAGAGAGAGAGAGAGAGAGAGAGAGAAGCAGAGGGAGAAGCAGGCTCCACACAGGGAGCCCGATGTGGGACTCGATCCAGGGACTCCAGGATCACGCCCTGGGCTGAAGGCAGATGCTCAATCGCTGAGCCACCCAGGTGTCCCTAATGTTTGATTTCCTAATCACCAGAGACTGAGCATGTGTGTTTCATTTCTCATGGTCTCCAAGTAATTGCCACAGGTTTGCATATTAAACTAATCTGTATTACAAAAATCAAAATAAAAATTTCCTCTTTTTTAGAGAAAAAAGTACATTTATTTGAAACAGATGTAAGCAATACTGAAAAGTTTAAAATGTGAAATGATAGAATCTCTTCTCCTTCCAGTTCCCCCTCTTCCCCCAAAGATAGGTGCATACATCTTGATTTTTTTTCTGTATGCTTGCAGTATATAAGCATATGGCTGTGTGAACATACTATATCTACTGTTCTGCAATTTGCTGACCTATGTTTTCATTTTTCTGTATATACAGAAATAGAATTGATGGGTCATGCGGTAATTCTATGTTAAACCTTTTTGAGGGGCTGGCTGCTAGCCTGTTTTTCAAAGTCCCACTTGAAATCCCACAGCAGTGTATGAGAGTTCCAATTTCTCCACATTTGCCAACATTTGTTATTATCTGTTTTCTCATTATAGACATCCTAGTGGGTTATAGTCTCTTTATAGTTTTGATTTGCATTTCATTGATCTAATGATGTTGAGTATCTTTACATGTACTCATTAACCATTGTATGTCTTTGGAGAAAGGCTATTTATTTAGATCCTTGTCCTGTTTTTTTAAATTGGTCTGTCTTTTTATTATTGAGTCAAAAGACTTGTTTATTGTGTATACATGTTCTTTATCAAATATGTGATTTACAAATATCTGCCCCCATTCTGTGGGTTCTCCTTTTTTTATTTTTTTAAAAGAAAGGTATTTTTTAAAAATATTTTATTTATTTATTCATGAGAGACACACACACACACAGAGGCAGAGACACAGGTAGAGGGACATGTAGGTCTTTGATTTATTTTGAGATAATTTGTGTATGGTTTGAGGTAGGGATCCAAATTCACTATTTTGCATGTGGATATCCAATTGTCTCAACACCAATTATTGAAAATATCTTTTTTTAAGATTTATTTATTTATTTATGAGGGTTGCAGAGAGGAGAGGCAGAGACATAGGCAGAGGGAGAAGCAGGCTCCCTGCAAGGAGCCTGATGTGGGACTCGATCCTGGAACCAGGGATCACAACCTGAGCTGAAGGCAGACACTCAACCGCTGAGCCACCCAGGCAACCCTGAAAAGATCATTCTTATTTTCTTGGCACCCTTGTCAAAATTCAGCCGACCATAAATGTGAGAGTTTATTTCTGGACTCTCAGTTTTATTTTGTTGATCTTTATGTTGGTTCTATGTGTGTATCACATTGTCTTGATTATTGTTGCTTTGTAGTAAGTTTTGAAATTGGGAATCATCCAACTTTACTCTTTCAAGATTCTGGGTTCTTTGAATTTCCATGGGGCTTTTAGGATCAGCTTGTCAATTTATATCAAGAAGCCAGCTGGAATTTTGTTGGAGATTGCATTTAATCTGTACATCAATTTGCAGAGTCTGCCAGGGTGACCATAACAAATCACACAGAGTGGTGGTGTGAACAACATAAATCAACTTCCTGTTCTTCTAGAAGATAGAAAACAAGATCACAAGGTGTCAATAGGGTTGTTTTCTTCTGGGGACCATGAGGGAAGAATCTGTTCCAGACCTCCCTCTTGCCTTATGGATGACAATCTTCTTGTATCTTCATGTGTTCTTTTCTCATGCATGTCTGTGTCCTAATCTCCTCTTTTTATAAGACACTAGTCATATTGGATTAGGGTCCATTCATATGGCCTCATTTAATTTAATCACCTCCTTAGAGGCACTATTTCCAAATACAATCACATTCTGTGGTGCTGAGGATTAGAATTCAACATGTGATTTTTGGGAAGCCAATATTCAGTCCCATAACGGGAACAGTGCCATTTTAAATAAACTAAGTTAATTAAGATGTAATATTAAATCTTCTGATCCATGAAGTGGGATGTTTTTCCATTTATTAGGTCTTCTTTATTTTCCTTCAACGATATTTTATAGTGTAGGGAATGCTTTTGAGGATACTCAAATATAGATACTCTCAGATTAGAAAAATCACTTCCCTTATTTTCTTCAAATACTATTATCACTTATATTTTAAAGTGAGCTTATTAAAAGCAACAAGTTTAGAATTGTGTCTTCTTGATGAATTGAAATTTTTTTAAAATCATGATCTTTATCTTTGGTAATACTTTATTTTTTGCTTTGAGCTCATTTCGACTGATTAATACAGCTACATCGGGTTTTTGTTGTTGTTGTTAGTATTTGCCACGTGTATCTTTTTCTGTTTTCCCTTTTTTTTCTTTCTTTTTTTTCTTTTCTTTCTTTATTTATTTATGATAGTCACACACACACAGAGAGAGAGAGAGGCAGAGACACAGGCAGAAGGAGAAGCAGGCTCCATGCTGGGAGCCCGACGTGGGATTCGATTCCGGGTCTCCAGGATCGCGCCCTGGGCCAAAGGCAGGCGCTAACCCGCTGCGCCACCCAGGGATCCCCCCCCCCTTTTTTTTCTTTCTTATATTTTTAAACATTTGGTATGTCTCTGGAAAAGAACTGTAATAAATTTTTTTAAAAATCAAGTCTGAGGATGCCTGAGTGGCCCAGCGGTTGAGCGTCTGCCTTTTGCTCGGGTTATGATCCCATATCCAGGGATCGAGTCCCCCATTGGGTGCCCTGTGAGGAGCCTGGTTCTCTCTCTGGCTATGTCTCTGTCTGTCATGAATAAATAGAATATGTTTTTTAAGTTAATTAATTAATTAAAAAATCAAGCCTGGTGTTCCATTTATGTTAATAGGCAAGTTTGATCCATCAATAATTATTGATTACTGATATGTTCAGGTATTACTGTCATTTTATTGTGTGCTTTCTCTGTGCTGCTTTTGTACTTTCTTGCCCTCTTTTGGGTTGATAAAATTTTCTTTTTTCTTTTCTCTTTTATTTATACAGAAATCAAACTATTTTTTAGTGGTTACTGTTGAATTTTTAAAAAGGTAACTGTTGTTTTAATGTTTACTGTTAAAATGTTAACAGAGTGAAGAGTTAACATCCTGACCTCTCAGAAAATAACAAAGACCTTAGAATACTTTAGCTCTCCCCCAACTTTTTCATCTTTGATATTTTTGTTGCTGTTTCTGTTTAATATCTGCTTTGAGTTTTTTAAAGGGTTTTATTCGGGGGGTGGCGGTGACCCGGTAACGGGCACTGAGGTGGGCACTTGACGGGATGAGCACTGGGTGTTATTCTATATGTTAGCAAATTGAACACCAATAAAAATAAATTTATAAAAATAAAAAAACAAGAAAAATCTGTTCAAAATATTAAAAAAATAAAGGGTTTTATTTATTTATTTGAGGGAGAAGCAGAGCACAGAGGGAGAGGGAGAAGGAGAAGTAGGCTCCCCACTGAGCAGAGAGCCCGACATGGGGCTTGATCCCAGGACCCTGAGACTGTGACCTGAGCCAAGGCAGATGCTTAACCAACTGAACCACCCAGGCACCCCTATTTGATTTTTTTAATCAGTGCTTTTTTCCTGTGTTTATATGGCTATATTTTTATCTGACTTATTGAGATAAAGGATTGGTTCCTTTGTTTTTCTTATTATATTCCAATAAGTCTATTTAGGACTGTACTTTACTTTTGAATAGTGTTTCATTATTGTTTCATCATCACTAATTTTTGTTAAACATTTATTCAGACTCCCTGCTGAGTGCAGAGCTTGTCACAGGACTCTATGCAAGGAACCAGAGATCATGACCTGAGCTGAAACCGAGAGTCAGATGCTTAACCAACTGTGCCATCCAGGCACTCATGGATTTATTTTTTTAAACAATATATTTTGGAGTACCTAACTGGCCCAGTAAGTGGAGCATGTGGTCTTTGATATTGGGGTTTTGAATTTGAGCCCCAAATTGAATATAAAGATTACTTAAAATAAAAACTTTTTTTTTTTTTTAAAAAAAAGGTCTTTTCTTTCCTGTGAAGGGAT